ACAGCCAGTTGCCTGGAGGGAGTGGTAGTTGGACCTGTGGGCTCAGGACCACGGTCGCAGGGGACATCAAGCTCAATTGGCATAACGTGCTACAAGGAAACACTGTTTGACATCCTAACAGCAGCAAAAAAGCAGCAGCACGCTCAGACGCAAGCCAAGAAGAGGGGGGAGAAGTGAAAGGAGGTCACTGGTCCAGGAGAATGGTCCAAGGTACAATGTGAAAGGGAAGCAAAGCCGTCAAGGCCACGTTAACAATTCTCTTTTCCTGAAAAGTCAGGGGAAACCACTGAAGAACATTGAACAAGAGGGAAGGTAGGGGCTGACATAAAGAAAAAGCATTTGGAAAGATCATTTGGTGTCATTTGGGGGCAATCAGTTAAAAGGGGAAAGGCAGGGACATGAGTTGGAGCACTTCAGGCTGAGACCAGATGGGAGACAGCTCAAGGGACAGAGAGAGAAGCGGACTGTTGTCAGAGGTACTCAGGAGGCTCTGGGAATGGACTGGTAAAAGCTGTGAACGTGGAATCCACAGAAGACCTAACCAGAAGGCTGGCGGTTCAAACGCACCAGCCACTCCTCGGAAGGAAGGCTGGGCAATCTACTTCTGTAGTGATACCGCCTCGGAAACCCAAGGAGGGGTTGCTATGAGTTGAATCAACTCAATGGCAGTGAGTTTTTTTTAAAAAATATATACACAGGTTAACAAGAATATGAAAAGATGTGTAATACAAATTGAGTTTTTTGGGGTGGGGGCTGCATCAAAGAAAGTACCATCTGAGTAATGGAGAAGACAGGGTAAGACTATAAACTGGTTCAGGCTCACAAGGGTAGGAGGTGACAAAACTCCCATTCCTTTTGATGCAGCAAGTCAGCATCCAGGAATGTACCCTGAAGAAGAATGTACGTGAGCACAGCCACACAGGTGCAAGGATGGTCACTGCAGTGGGCATTTGTGTACTAGCAAAAAACTGGAAATAATTTAAGTATTCATAAATAGGGTAATGGGTGAAAAAGTTATGAGGCATCCATAATTGAAAATACTACCCAATGAATAAAAAGGATCTTTAACAGATGTATATAGTTACATGCTCAAAAAGAAGCTCTGGTGGCTCAGTGCCTAAGGCATTTGACTGCTAGCCAGAAGGCTGGCAGTTCAAACCCACCAGCCACTCTATGGAAGGAAGACCTGGCAATCTACTTCCGTAAAGATTTACCGCCTCAGAAACCCAATGGGGGTCACTAGGAGTCGGAAATGATTCGCCATTTTTTTTTTTTTAATATGCTCAAAAAGTCATGTGTAGCAAAATCTATCTTTATCAAGATATTCTGTGTGTGTAAAATGTGTGTATGTATTTACGAACATTTAAGAGGTCTAAATGGATATGTACCAAACTATTACTGTTAACAGTGGTTAAGAGAAAAGACCTGGTGATGTGCTCTCGTAAAGATTAACCGAAACCAAACCCGCTGCCGTGGAGTCGATTCTGACTCACAGCGCCCCTAGAGGACAGAGTGGAACTGCCCCACAGGGTTTCCCAGGCTGTCAATCTTTACAGAAGCAAAGCCCAAACCACACCCACTGCTGTGGAGTCAATTCTGACTCACAGCGCCCCTAGAGGACAGAGTGGAACTGCACCAGAGGGTTTCCAAGGCTGTCAGTCTTTATGGAAGCAAAGCCCAAACCACACCCACTGCCATGGAGTCGATTCTGACTCACAGCGCCCCTAGAGGACAGAGTGGAACTGCCCCAGAGGGTTTCCAAGGTTGTCAATCCTTACAGAAGCAGACTGCCTCACTTTTCTTCTGTGGAGCTGCTGGTGGGTCTGAACCGCCAACCTTTTGGTCAGTGGCCCAATGCTTTAACTACTCACCACAAGCTTAGGAAACCCTATGGAGAAGTTCCACTCTGTCACACAGGGTCAATGAGTCGGAATCGACTCAACAGCAGCAATGGCTCCTCTGGGAGGTGAGTGCTTTCATTTCTGCCAGCGTCATTTCAGCATTTCACAGCCAGCATGGATTGTTCGTGGTTTCAAAACCAAAGGGAAAAAAAAGGGGGCGGGGCCAAGGAGAATTCAATGGGTTTCCAATAGGCCCTCTGATTAAAAACATCTGTCTTAAATTAATTACTAACTCTCACCCTTACTTTTAAGAGATACATGCTAACATATTTAAGGATTAAGTGTAATGATATCTACAGTTTTCTTTACAACATCTCAGCCCCCAAATCTACCCATCAATGTGTTACTGTCACCACACGCAGACATTCACACACACAGATGAACGCAGTAAGACAAAAGGCTAGCCATGGTGAATGCATACCCCAGCCAAACGGGCCTACATTAAAATCCCAGGATAGACCAAACCGTCCCCCACCCCAGGATGACTGCGTATACTTCTGCCTAGGATGCTCCCTGATTCTGATGCACCCCTTCCCCGTCTGCCCTCCACCCTTCCAGTATCCCCTCGCCCCTTATACACACACACACAAGCATGCATATACATGTGCACAAACATGCACACACATGTGCACATGCACACATGTGCATGCACATAGACGTGTGGGCATATGCACATACATGCACTGACATGTACCTGTATGCACAGCTCATGCGGGCAGGCATGTGTTGTATGTGTGTATGTACACATACACACACACATACATGCATACATATGCATGTATGCACATATGCATACACACACACACACACACACAGAGTTTAACTAACTTGTACTATCCATTCTGTGGCTCTCAGTTTATATTAATGTAAATGGCGGCTCCTTGGAGGACCTGGTCCCACTTCACTTACACCGTCACCTACCTTTCTCACCTCACTCGTTGCACCCTGTGCTCCTCCTCCACTACACTTACTGACGACACGGTAACTCCTATCTGCGTGGTTATTACTTCTTATTTGGGGGTGTGGGGGGGACATGTGCTGACAGGTAGACTGTTCCCCCCACTAAACTGTCATCTCCATGACGGTGAGGGTTCTGTATTTTCCATCACTGTTTATCCAGTATCGAGAGGGCATTCAAAAAAGAGCAATTACACAGATGACTTCAGAGAATGAGTAAGAAATTTTACCAGAATCTTAGGTGTTTGCCGAGGGTGGGATGAGACAAAACAGCCGAGGAAATGACAAAGCGGTTTGAACACTCAATGAGCACACATGTGGTGTGGCTGTTTCTCCCTCCAGGGCATTGGCAGAAACATTAGTCGGTTTACCCAAAGGATTATTTAGATTCCAGGAAACCTGGAAGGCCATTTAAGTGGACAAGGCAGTTTTAAAGGAAAATTTTTAAAAGCCCTGAGTCTTAGCACTGTCAACCACTCAAAGGGATCCGTGCAGGAGATCCTGGACAGAGTGGGAGAACAATGTGGAACAAAACTCAAAATCATAAAAAAAAAAAAAAATGAGCAGGCTTGCTGGTCTGACAGAGCCTAATGAGCCCCCTGAGACTATGGCCCCTAGTGACCCTTCAGGTCTGGAACTGAACTCACTCCTGTGGCTTCCAGTCAAACCACAGACAGGCATATGGGGTGAACATTTACACCGGGTAGATACAGTCCTTGGAGCGATCAACCGTGGGAGAACAGAAGGACAGTGTTTGCACAGGGAGACAGCTGGGGGAACTCATGGGAGGGAAGGACACAGGGAAGAGGTAACTGCAGGGAGGAAGTGGGAAGAGAGTTGTCACACAGTGGGGAATTGCAGTCAGTGTCAAGGAAAATGTGTATGAAATTGTGTGGAAAATGAAATTGCTCTGCAACTTTCACCCAAATCACAATAAAAACTAAAAAACAAAAAACAAAAAACAAAGCCCTGAGCCTTCATTCTGTTTCTATAAGAAGGGGTGGGGGGTAAGACAAATATGGCTTTGAGTATTTGTTTCTTTTTCATTCAAGACATTAATATTTTTCTTTTCCTCACTTTGAAAACCTCCCCGATTTTCCTAAATCTCTCCAGCCCACCAGTACAAAGAAGAGAATATGAATACTCTAATCTGCATCCTTTCCTAAAATCCAGCAGTAACATCTTCTGCCTGTTTAAGTGGAAACTTCTCACGTACCTGTTTGAGAGATGGGAAGTGGTGACTCCCAGAGCCCCACTGGAAGCCATACATAAACCAAGGTGATGAAAGGCAGCCCAAAGCCCAGACCTTCTCCTCCATCCCAACCTCTGTCTTTACGGGCTGATACACCCCAACACCTCCATACCTGAAGGTCATCAACCCACAGAAGGCCAAGCATTTCCTTTAACTAAAGCACCCTGACATTTGCCATGGAAACTAAGTGGTCATATTTAAACATAGCTTACAGAAAAGAATCTTGGCAGATACTTGCCTTTGGAGGATTAATGCTTTTCAATGGCTTGGGTCTAAATTCTGGGTACCCAAGAAACAATCGTTAAAGCAGAAGTCGACTTACGAAGAGTGTCTGTCCTTCCCAGAGGCCCTGTGACGCTGATGCTCTCCAACCTTCAAACCTACAGTTTAAATGTTCTTCCCACCGCTATCCCACCGTCTCATCCTCAGGACATCACACTCCCTAACCTGCAGCTCACACACACATGCTTTCCCACCCAACCATGCACCGCTCCCCAAGGCCTTCATTAGGCTAAGTGGGAACCAACAACTAAGAACATGAAAATGACCAAAGCAGGCCGTTAACTGCTAGGGAATGGGTGATTGCTGCAGGCAACTTGAGAACACAGAAGTTACAAAACACAGCGACAAACAAACGTGAAAACTTCAATCACTCCTTTAGTTAAAGCAAAGCAAGTGTTAAGAGAACAAATCAGATAGTATTTATTGAAAAAACAGTATTACTGTGTTAAAAAGAAACATCAGGCTCTTCACGTCAAAAAGGTAACCTCTTGGAAGACCTCCAGCATTAGATCTACCATCTGCACCATTTCAACGGTTCACTGACTGAGTCTGACTAAGAGTCCCACTGGCCCGCTGACACGCACGCTTTCCCAACTACAACTGTTTACCTTTTGTCGCCTTTTCTCTTTCCTTTTGTCTTCCGTGTCCTGGAGCATTTTTTCTTTCCAGAGGTCAAAGAAATAGGAAGGATCAGTATAGAACTTCAGCCCATCTTTCTTGTCATCTCTGGAAGTCATGAAACACAAGTGCGAAACACAAAGGTGGTCAGGTATTTTCATAAAGGGTTGTACGGCAACTTAATTTTAGCTCAAGTATAAATTCTAGGTTCAGAGATGGCATCTCTATGGGGCGTTTTAAGTCTCGTTTACATTACTAAATCTCTCCAATTTCCATATTTGAAAACAACGTGGACATATTTAAGAACATCAACATGTTCTAGAACATTACATAAAAAGTCCTCTTGCAAATTTAGAATTAAATACCAAACACTGTTCTTTAATTCCCAATATGGCTCACTCCTCACTTGCTGCCACTGAAGTTGATTCTGACTCCTTGCGACCCTCACTGGGTTTCCAAAGCTGTAAATCTTTACGGGAAGCACACTGACTCATCTTTTTTCTACAGAGTGCTTGGTGAGTTTGAACCACCAACCTTTTTGGTGAGTGGCAAAATGCCTTAACCACTATGCCACCAGAGCCCTAAGGAAGAGTTCATGCCCAATTATTTGGGGAGGGGCTGGATCTGCACTTCCTTTAATTTTCTTTTATGCCATCTACTGGTAAACCTCCATCATTAGACACCAAGTCACATGTTCTTCTGAAAACCACTAATAAAAGCAACGCAATTCACTAAGTACTTTAACTTTTGATTACTGTAAAACCCTTCCTGCTTTCCTTTCCTACTTTCCTAATTATCAAGCAGCCTGCATTATAAAGACATTTTTATACCATTATCATGAAAAACAGTATTTCTTCCCTATGATGCTAAATGCATGAAATCAAAGGTACTGCCACTCACCCCTGGTAACCAACAAAGAAAGTTTCCTTCCATTCATAAACAACCTTTCCTTGACTTTTTACAGTAATGAACTAATACTATATTTGTCCTTCGTGATTGACTTATTTCACTCAGCATAATGTCCTCCAAGTTCATCCATATTAAGTGGTATTTTGCAGATTCTACATTATTCTTTAGTGTTGCATAGTATTCCATTGTGTGTATGTACCACAGTTTAGTTATCCATTCTTCTGTTGATGGGCACATAAGCTGTTTCCATCTTTTTGCTATTGTAAATAAAGCTGCGATGAACATGGGTGTACATGTATCTGTTCTTGTCCTGGCTCTCACTTCTTTAGGATATATACCTAGTAATGGGATTGCTGGGTCAAATGGTATTTTTAGTTCCAACTTTTGAAGGAATCGCCATACTGCTTTCCACAATGGTTGTACCATTTTACAGTCCCACCAGCAGTGTATGACAGTCCCAATCTCTCCACATCCTTGCCAGCATTTGTTATTTTCTGTCTTGTTGAACTTTGCCATTAGTACTGGGGTGAGATGGTATCTCACTGTTTTGATTTGCATCTCTCTGAAAGCTAATGATCATGAGCATTTCTTCATGTATTTGCTGGTTGCCTGAATATTCTCTTTGGTGAAGTCTATTCATGTCTTCTGCCCATTTTTCAATTGGATTGTTAGTATTTTTTTTGTTGAGGTGTTGGAGTTTTCTATAAGTTTTAGACATAAGTCCTTTGTCAGATATGTGACTATTGACAAGTATGAATTTGTTGCTGTCATTTTGTTACATGTTTTTGTGGTGTTGATTTCTTTGTTCCATATAATTTTCTATGCTGAGCTTGTTCTGTTTATGAATTGTATTATCACTTCCTTCATTGCTATTGTTTTAGTACTTGCTAAGTTATTTGTGCTGGGCCTCTTTTTAATTTTGATATGAAAGTTTATCATTTTTCTTTGAGGTTACCCTGTGATTTATAATTTTCTTCCCAAGTTT